CAGCGCGGCGCGGCGCGAAAACAGCCCGGCGCGGCCGGAAAAACAGCCGCGGAACACGTGGCACGGGCAGAAAATGGCCGCGGACCACGTGGCACGGGCGGAAAAATGGCCGCGGACTACGTGGCACGGGCAGAAAATGGCCGCGGACCACGTGGCACAGGCGGAAAATGGCTCGTACCCCGGGGCGGAGTTCGCAAACCGAGGTAAAATTTTGGGGCCAGAGCTGGTCGTAACCCGAAAAATTCGCAAGCAGAGGCGTTCGTATCCCGAGGTATCACTGTAAATATGAAAACCTGCAACACTAGGTCAACTGTAAATCATTTACCAGTTTTTGAAGATGGGCTTTAAGGAATCTCTGATAAGGAATTATGGCATATTCAAATACATAATCGTCTCTATGCCTTTTCCATAAAGGCATGATATCTTCTCTAATAAATTTATTATAATTTCTTATTACACTCTTAGTAAGGAATCTTTTATCTAGCCTCGCCCAGCATAATGTACTGGCAAAGGCATAATTTTCTTGCTCTTTCGAAGGTAAAGGAAAGAATACTATTTTTTTCAAGCGAAGCACTACTACAACAGTTTTCTATTCAATAATACAAACTAAACAATAAAATAGGTATTATACCTTGCGTATGACTGGATCATCAGTGGTAGTCACGGTATGGAAAATGCGCTTAATGCTACGAAGATTTTTTTCATTTCTTGTGGTGATGCGGTCAAAAGCTTTGTCATAATATTCTAAAGCCCCACAGCATTCTCTGCAAATTGAAGAATATGAGATATTCTCCCCAAGGTGTCACACGATAGTAACTACTGTATAACTGCAGTGCAACCAATTCAAGGAACAAACATGAATGATCACACTTCTATGACAACTTTCTCTAACACATGACCCTCCAAGTGTGCCAGTACATAATCTCACCATTTCCAACAGCATGACCATGGGAACTGTAGTCCAACTAATCTGGAAAGGGATTGGGGTTCTAAAACATCATGAAGGTTTTATTCTCTGGCACCATCTTCGCTAAATCAGATTAGTTTCAATCTCCAAGTAGCAAAACCACATTTTAGAGATGTGAACATGATGGGCATTCTTATCAAGGAATTGGGCCTTCAGGCCAGTCTAAATAGCTGTTGTTGCCCTCCTGTTTATACCTCAGATAATATTAATCAAACACCATTTAAGTCCATGCCAGTCATCAGAACATTTAACAAAATTTGTTGATTTTGATTAATGGTATTCAGACATTAAATCTTAATTTGTTGCTTGTTCAGGACCTAAGTACATTAGCAAAAGGAGCTATAACACAGACAAAAGAAAAAAGAAAAAAAGAAGAAAAAAGACCAAAATTATTTCAGCCTTTCCTAATAAAGCGTACTTCAGATGTCTGGGATTCTTAATTCTTAGGAATTTGGGAAACTGTAGTCCAATAAATGTGAACAGCACCAGACTGAACAGTTCACTTTGTATTGCTAATTCCAAGTCTTACATGTCCTGAGGCTCTGACACCTCCAAATATCTCATCTTCATTAATCTAGGGAAATCCATCTCCTCCTTCACCTCCCAGTCACTGCGAACTTCCACTGAGGAATCACGCGGCTTCTGCTGAGCCAACAGATGAAACATACCGAGATGGAAAAAAGGAAATAGAAAACTCATCAGTGTTTAATGCAGCAGCAATAACAATTGAAATGGAGTAACTTAGGCCCAATAATAGCAACCAGAGAGAAATCCCAATTGGTTAAGAAAGAGATTACCATACCTGAGATTTTTGGTCCCATTTCTGCCTCACTCCAAACTGCTTCTGAAATTTCTTTTGCAGACGCAGTCTATCTCTGAAATAACAGAAAACCAACAATATTTTTGTCAGATAAGACAAGTTTGATAAAGGAGCTGCTTATTCCAAATCTTTCATTCACAATAAATTTAGGCTGCTAAATTAAAGAGTATGGTTAATTCCAGATGTACTTGGTGAAAAGCAGAATTTCACTCCATGCCTGCAAACTTTAATGCAATTGCTTGAAAAGTACATTACTGCAGGGTGGGTGTAAGAGGGTACAAACGCAAGTTTAATTAATATAACAAAACAAATGGTATTTTTGATTCATATTCTAATGCAGCAACAATTCAGCAACTGAACGAATTCAGAATACAGCATAGCAGAACCCAGCAACTCATTTAGTGAACAGTTTGCTTTACAGAAAATTGACTTCTTGTTACTGTTACAAACAGAAACCAAACTGTTCTCCCACAGACCAAGAAAGATTACCTCTCCTTCTGCTTGGCACTTTTAGGCAGAGTCTGCAGGTTGAACTGAAGTATGTTCCGTCGGTCCTTGTCTCTTCGAAGGTTCCTCTGAAAAAATATATTTGTGCAAATAAGAAGAGAGAACAATTCATTTTAGAATTTCTTGGAAAATAGGGAGAATAACAACAGTCTTGCACAATACCTGCACAGTGTTCATTGCAGTGCACTAGATATAGTCAGACATGTCACTGAGCATGTTAGGAGGCATAATGGATGTGTATTTTAAACTTCAGAGGCTACAGGTTGCCCATTCCTGACTTAGGGACTCTCAGCTTTGCAACTTGTTTCAAAAGACAATTCTGAGTTACAGAGAAGGAAACATCTTCCACAAATTGCAGCAAAATATCAACCAGGTTGGCAGGCAGAGATAGAGTTCTCTGTATATATCTTAAAGTGTATGTGTATGTAGGTATGGGTACACACACACATGTACAACCCACTACCAGTTCAAATGTAAGATCTTTAATGAGAACATCATACCTGTGCAAATCTCATACGATTCCTTTGATATGCAGTTTTCTGTGTTCGTGTTGTGTCCACTAGCTGGAAACTGGCTTCATCTTCCTCATGGAAGTAAGCATACTGGCTTCCACCTCCAAATTGGGATGAGTATTTATCTACAAATATATTAACCACTATCAGTTTTATGCTCAGGTTTTGGATTGTTTGGAAGACCTAGGATTGAAATGATTCTTCTATAAATAAGAGCCATATGAGAATAACCATAAAGGGAAACTATTGAGAACAAGAAATACAAGTGAAAGAAATTTCAAGGCTGATCATGAAATGAAGTTGGTCTTTTTTTAAAGCCTACAAGTACAAAAGAAACTCTACTTCTATTGTGATCAATAGAGATATGATATACCATAGCTTCCCAACTACTTGAAGCATATCGTGTAATTCCATCAATGTTTTATACATCTCAGTGCCATCACAATTCAGTAGAAATCTATTCATTAGATGAGGTACTAGTAGGATTGCAGAAAAGCTTAGAGTTAATATCTTCTATTCTGTAATGATGGAATGGGGGAACCATAATGTCCATGCCCTGAAAGCCTTAGCAGAGGGACAGTAATGTTTACATTTACACATAGTAGTGGAAAGATGATAATCTGCTCTAAATCAATCAGAAAGGCCTTTTAGCAACAGAACCTCAACACCAAGTCTACATATTATTCATGACAGTTAGCAGTAGTTGGATTTGATTCCGGGGGACTAGATGGACATATGTTTACTATCCTAACTTTTCACGTCTTCTTTTCCCTCAACCTTGCCAAGCCTATTTTATTTCTATGATATCCACCCACATCACATATCAACCCATGCATATGGGTTTCTACTTGTGATCCAGGAGATTGCTTGGTTCTTCTTAAAGTCCACTTAGTAACTTCTCCAAATCCATAATTTGAAGGTGTTTATCCTCTTTCTCTCACTTTTCCTCAATGTCCAACTTCCATACCTGTGTGTTATGTCTAAATTCCACTGCTTTAGTTATTTTGACTGTTGTTATCATAGGAATACCCTTGTCCTGCATGATCCTGTTACTCACTGCCTTCCTTCCTAGCATTAATTTCCTGTTTATTTCTCCAGCACATTGCCCAACTTTATCTACTCTTGAACCAAGAAAACAAAATGATCTACTACCTTCTCTTCTTATCCTCAACTGTAAGTTACTAAGCACACAGACTGATTTTTTTTTGTTTTTGTTTTAATACTTAACATTACCCTGGATGTGTTACATTCCATTTTTATTTTCTCAATTAGGGCTTCTATATTTATTTACTTTAGGTAAAAAAGTGGCATCACCTGCATATATCAACTAATTAATATTTTCACTTCCTACTGTTGATTCTAGCTCTCATATCTTTCAATTCTGCATTCTTATCTCCATTATAAGCATTTCTCAGAAGAAGAATTATGTGTTTTGGCACTCCCAATAGCCTTTTCTATGTTCAAGGTCTTTTCAATGACCTTGTTGGAGTCCATGGAGTCTCCATTATCCATCTTAGGTTAATGATTTGTTCTCACGTCCCTCTGTCTTTTCTGAAACTTGCGTATTCATCTGGTATTTCTCTTTCCATGTATGGCTACATTCTTATTACCACACTACAGATACCCTGAAACAATGTACTTTATCTCAGACAAGAGCGACATCTGACTCACTTGTGTATCGCTTATCTTGATAAGTAGCTCCAGTCCAGTCTGCAACCTAGGCAAAATAAAAATGAATATTATTATGCTAATATATGCAACATAGTCATTGAAAAGATTTTCAACAGATCCTCTAAAATTATCCCTCAATCCAGTGGAATTTCTGAGTTCTAAACCTCTTTCCCTAGAGGCAGCACAAAGACCTATGTATATATTAGGGGGATGCAGCCAAAAATAATATCCCCATATTATAATTGTCTTTGTCAGTATACAGTAATTTAATTTTGCACTCTTAATTATTGTAGTGTAGGTATAATATACAGAACTGTTTATTGTGATCCATCACCTTGCATTTTGAAACTATCCCATGCGTTGCTTAAACACACTGTACTAGAGATTGGTGGTATAACAGGCTATCAATGTAACACCTTGTTACAAATTAAAGAGGAGAATTTGCTTATATTAGCAAGCAACATATGCACCACCACTCATATTGCCATAATTCCCTAAACAATTAGGAAATATCAATGTTTTAAGCAAAGTTTTCCCTACTTTCTATCATCTTGTGCAGGGATGAGGAATCTGTATTTTTCAAAATGTTGCAGGACTGTATGTCCCAGCATTCTTCACTACTGGCAATATTTATGATGTTGGGAGAAAGTCTATCATTGATTTTAAGATTCATATTCCTTGTAACTGGATACAACCATGGGTTGAGATACACGGAAAAACCAGAGAGCAAGAAAAACTAATTTTAAAAAATGTTGTATTTCACAATTTATTTGCTATGTAGTTTGATTCCATTTCAATCTTTGTTCTGGGAACTGTGCAATATACAAATTTCTGAATGATAAATGAACTGCTGAAAGCAGTGCCTTGTATAAAAAATCATTAACAGAAGGCCTAGTATGAACTGAGGGCCTCAAACAGACAATGAGTTAAAATCAATTAAGAACTTCTGTGCTAGGATTCAGACAAAAGTACCTTTCCCAGCCGATCTCCTTTGCTGAAGGGCTGATAAGGCATATCTTTGAACTGCTCAGGAACAGCACATGGACCCCAACCAGATGGATTGTCCTGTACTACAGGCGTAATGAATTTTGCCATCTTCTATAACTATCAAGAAAGAAGACTCAAAATGAATAGACATAAAAGTTGGTAAATTTATTTAAAAATAATTCCCAAAAGAAGATAACATCTATTCAAAACCCAAATGGAAAAAATGTCCATCATTATGATGAAAGAATTTGGAGATTTTTTATTGTGATCTGTATAAAAGTCAATAAGATACTTAAATTGAAGAATTCAAAATTTGGAAATGACACACTCTGCCTCAAATTCCTAGTACAAGACTGCAACATCTAAAACATTTAGTATATCATCATATAACACAAGGCCAGAGTGCACACCCAAATCAAGATATGAACATATATATTCATCAACTTTTATGCTAACAATACTTTTTTTTACAGAATTTGGGATCAGATTACATTCTCTGGACTCTTAAACATATTTATAGTATTTTTAATTTCTTTATTATGTTGCTGTGTAGTTTATATCCAACTTCATATAACCTGATGTCTCCTTTTTCAGTTAAAATGTAATTTACAAGTCTTTTTTTTTCCGACACAACAGTCTCTCACACCACATTTTGCTAACTTTCTACTGAAATACCATTTAATGATTTCCAAAATCTAGTGACAGCCACTTTAGCAGCAGATAATCAACATGTTATTAAAAATGTATAGCAGCAACTGTTTATTTGAAGTTGCAAGGAAATGGATGCAGTTGGAGGGGAATAACGGATACTACAAGAGGAAAATGATGAGGGTCAAAGTTTTCTCTGAGGGGAACTGGAGGTAAGTTTAGTGTTTTATGTATTTTTTGGCCTTCTTGGGGAAGCTTACATTATTTTTTGCATTTCATGCTTCTACATGGGAGTAAATCATGCCACTAATTTCGGACAACTATGTCTTTTAAAAAATAACATGCACATCTGCACTCTGCATTAAGTCCCTCTACAAATTGAATGACAACTTTAGAGAAAAATATTTTTGAAATTAGACATTTTAAACAACTTCAGTTCTATTAAACAGTTATTTCTTACTATTGAAAACTTACTAGCTCCACTTCCCATCCCTGACTATGAACTCAAATGTTTTATTCTTATTTTAATCTTGTACTCAGCCCTTTAGGCAAAATGAACGTGAAAGAGACCACCACGATCAAGAAGACTCACTAAATTCGACCAGACACAGGTTGCTCTGCTCTTAATGGATGTGGGGCAACAAAGAGGTGAAAGAGTGTCACATCCAGGGTCTTTCTGAGCAACGTCAACGGTACCTATACCGTGAGTTGAGAGTTACTGCTTCAGAGCACCGGATTTTATCATGACGCTGTCAAAAATGGCGACCAGCAAATGAGGCCCAAACTTACACACTTTAATATGGAGATCTATTAAGGGGGAAGGGGAATGAATGAACATCGATGGATCTAGAAAGGGCCGGGTGAGGCCTATGCTAAAGGACCACAGGACCTCACCACCGGAAAGGCAGGAGGGTCCTTAGCCCCACCCTGCATCCAACATAAACCCGCTGAGGAAGAAAGACGCCAGTGGTCCGCAACGCGGAGGGTCCTGGGCTCAGCCCCAGGATTCGTCTCTCACCTGTACGACCCAAGCGGGCCCAGATGTCGACGGATTCGGCCCAGTGGCTGAAGGCTAAAAGGGTTCCCTGCCAGACACACCTCTTTGCCACTCGCTTCAACTTCCGGCGCCGCTTCCTTTGCGCTGATGTCATTATACCGCGACGCCGGTAAAAGCTGATAGAGTACTGTAACAGATTCGGACTGAGCGTCGCAGTCGATCTAGCTGTCCTGCAGTTGGTTGGTCGATAGGCGGCCTAGAGGTGATACGCTTAATTTTAGTTATATTGGGTGGAGCGTGGATTCGGTAGCTGTGTTTGACTCTTTTCTCTGGTATCCTGGTTTTGTCTAGGATGAAGCTTCGTTTTTTTAAAAAAAATAGTGGGCTCCTAAAACCCACCCTGTTATCAAGGCAATAATGTGAGAGAAGTTTGGCAACTTGAGAATGACTCATCCACGTATCATTCAGTGGAAAGGACTGTCTCAATGAGGAGCAGGAGACTTTCAGCTCTATCCTTATATACATAGAACTGGCTTTGTCGGATGCTGCTGAGTCAAATAATTCTGTTTTGATTTTTTGACCTATTGAAAGAAAAGTAACCAGTGAAGAAAATTGCCAATTTAAAATTTGCTCCCTTTCTGAATGCTTTCCTGATTTGAAAGATACATCATATGCCATTGTGAATTGGCATATCACATGGATAAAACTTCTAAGAATTTCACTACTGCCAGCCCTGGTGCCGCCATCATCATCATCATCATCATCATCATCATCATCATCATTATTTTATCCATATATGTATGTATGTTATGTGTGTGTGTATAAAACTCAAGGCAGCAAACATACTTAATACTCTAGTAAGAGGATAAGAAAGTCCTGCCTTAAGAATGTATTTATCTTTATATTTATTAATCTGGGCAATAAATTGAGTTCTAATAGTGGAAAAACAATCCAGTTCCTGCATTCATATTTTTTGCTTTAAATTTTTAGATCAAAAGTTTTCTGCAGAAAATAATATCCTAGATGATCTGTAATATTTGTAGCAGAACAGCACCACCCTGTGGTCTACTCAAAACATTATTTCTTAATTGAGTTTGCATTTTCTTTTAACCAAGTGGTATTTATCTTCTCATCTGAATGCTAGCATTCTGAATATTCAGAGTTGTTATTTTTTTTACACTTTTCAGCCTTTCGAATCCACAAGAAGACTAGAACTATACTTTATTGAGATAGGCTATACTATACGAGGGAAACGGAGGAATCAGTCTTAATACTTTCCCTTTCCACTGGGCTCAAGATATGCTTATGCACAATTTGTTTTTGTAATGGTTTCTGAATATTTTATCCAACGTCATCTCAGTGTCTCCCTACATCAAGTTGATTTTGTTTATCTTCTCAATCAGATAATTCAGATAGGCAGGAGGTGAGATGAATTTTGAAGTCTACCACAAAGATAGAATACTAATCCTTCAATCTTCCCATTGACTGTTCTTTTTTTTTCCCCGCCATATCAAATCTTTATTTTATTTTTTTTGGGACTAGAAGGTCCAATTACTTTCTCTAGATGTTAGACAAACCTTCCTGAAAAGAGGATGGGGGATCTTGTTTGGGAGATAACTTTAAATCTGGATCTAAAACTAACACTGCAACTTTATTAGAAAAGGTTGAAAAAGATTTAAATCATTTACTGCATCCTGTGTAATGGTACATTAGCTTATCTGTTTTAAGCAATCTGGCAACTTTCAAGGATTTCAGAGATCCTGGATTTGATCTTTGATCTTTTTTCATTTTCATTTCCCAATCTGAGACTTCTCTGATGTGCTTTTACAGTAAAGGTGGTACTTTAGGTGAATTGCCATTGACTTCCAAGCTATCGAAAATCACCTTTTAATCACCAGACAGACAAACACAAAACGTTAGAGCTTTATCTCTGTTACATACAGGGATTACATTAACAAAAGTAAAACTTAATAATAGTTAAAGTGACACATTACAGCATTTTGTAAACTATGTTTTACAAAGCCCAATATTTGGATTTGCATAATTAGTCAAAACCAGACAAACTGTATTATAAGTTAGCATAATGAGCAAACTCAATCTGTACGTCTACAATAAAAACATTTACACAAGGAATCTTACCATATAGGTCCCTTTCTCTTCCCACTTCCCATTTCAATATGAACACTGAATGAGGAAACTTAATCAGAAATTAAAAATTATTTATTCCTAAACCTTATAACATTTCATATATTACATGAATCCACATTACAAATTCACCTGGCTTCAAACATAGTTTGTTTTTAAGTCAATCAATTGTGCTGATCCTGGGACTGGTATTGTGTCTTTACTATACAGTAGTTTCTTTCCTTCAGTTTCACAGTTGAGTTTGTTGCAATTTACTTCTAAATCAGCAGATTCCTAACTCCACCTTCATTCAGCTTTCAGTGTTCATTCATAAATTTATTCATTCCAACATACATACCTTTGATGAGCTTTGCATTTAGTATTATGAACAATTTTTCATCTCTGACATGGGGAAAAGATAGAGCCTATTCCATATATCACATTAGTGTCCAGAATATAGGGGCTGATAGGGAACGGGTTAGTTTTATTTTTAGTGTTTCAATCCTATCAGTAATTTCCTTAGTGAGAATTCCTTCCAAGCAAACATATGAATAACTCCTGAACAAACAAAATCACTTCTGATCTCATATATACAGATCAGATTTTGCTGTAAATGTAAGGCTAACTATAATATAATAATCTCTAGCCATTTGGAATAAAGATGGGGATTGGAAAGAGGTATAGGCTGATCATTTAGTTTGGCATTTATAAAAATCATTATGCTAATGTATTGGGGCATTCAGGTGATATAATCCGTTATTTATTAGCCTATGTTTTATGTCCTTTTCCTTGTTAGTAGGATAATCCATTTAGATAGAATCTTTGAAGTTCGGTAGTTCTATGGCAATATGCTTCTAGAGATTTCAACATGCACTGCTTTAATTTTTTTTCTCCCTTTTTACCACAGAATGTCAAAATATTACAATTGTACAACTTGCAGATTTCTGCATCTTGCTTACATTTGACTTTTTGCATTCAGTGTACTACAAACATTGACCAGCCCATGTATAAAAGCAAGAAATGCATGATCGATGGGTAGAAAATGGGCTATGCATTGGAATAATACAAAACAATATACCTGCAAATAAAAAATAAAATTGATGAAAATAGTATTCCCATGTACATACCTGCCAACATTTATTTTAGGGAAGGGAAAGGCACATTCCAAACAGCAACCAACTTGCTGACTTGTAAAGTTGGTACCATTGTGCATTAGAAACAGTTTCTTTATACATGTCATTAATCTAGTTTAGACAAGAAATCCTATTAATGTTTATATTCAAATGATACTTTATTTCATTGTTACATGAGACAAACTTTGCGAGAGGTGTGGAACGGCTTGAGTATTGTGAAATTCTAGAATTACTATTTATTCATTAATTTATAGGGTACATGTACAAATGTTTCAGGTACATGCCATATTATGCAGAATCAATGATCTTTACATGGATGCCTAAAACGGAAGTCTCCCTAAAACATGGAATTAAAGGCATTGCATTAATTTCAGTGGTACTGGAATCCAAAGTCACTTGCTGGAAATATTTCCCCATCTCATGCTGTGCAGAAATCATTTTCCTTCTCTTCTCACTTCCTCCAGGTTCTAATAAAATTGCATGGCTCCTTTGGTTCAAACCAATTCCAGTTTGTCGATTTCTGGCTGAGTTTAAGTAC